TGTGGGTAATGATATTCCTATCACTTAAAATGCAATTTATGGTTTAGTTTAGTTTATTAGGATTCGAATTCAGATTTAATCGCTTTAGTTTTGATATTTAAGGTTGAAATTTGATAATGGGTATGTTTGAGATTATATCTTGATTAAGTAATTGGGTTTTTGATAAATTTTGGGAATAGGGTGGTAATTTGAGTTTTTTCAATGGAATAGTTGAGGCGAGGATTGATGGAATTTAACTTGAATGATGAGAAATTGACTTCAGATGCTAGTTTTCGAAAGTTGGAAGTTTAAGGGTTGATTTCAATCAACTGAGTTTTGCAATTGTATGAATTAACTCTAGTTGGTGGTGTTTGGCCCACAATCATTCGAGTATTCAATTGCTTGTAAGGTTAGAGTAAATGTAACATTAGTTATTCTTTCATGTACTTGTAAATTCTATGTTTTAGATAATTTGATATTGACTAAATTGTTTTGAGATTGTTATTGCCCGTGGACGGCTTTGAAAGAACATTGTCAAGTTTTGAATTACATGTTTGAGTTGAAATGTTGTATTTGATATGCACTTTGAAACTTTAATATGTTAGAAATTCTTTGGCATTCATGGATGGCTTAGAATTTTTCAAGCATACTTGTGTGCATTCTTTGAAACTTTTCGAGCATATTTGTGTATGTAATTATATATTAAGTGAATTGGAATGTGCGATAGAACACCTCCTAAACTTGTCCTCTAAGATAGGGAGTCATGATCCAATCTTAAACTCTATATCGTTGGTAAGTTATATCTATTGATTTGACAAGGGAGATCTTGTGAACTCGTATTGCTTTTAACGAATGAAACTTGGTTAATGGATCCAGAAAAGTTTAAAAGACTTCTAAATAACATAAGTTATGTCCTTCTTGTTTTTTTAATATAATTATAAATTATATATTGGTGTTCTCGGTGGTTGAAACTCTCCTAGAATTTCGCCAAATTGACGCCACTAATCTTAAACTAACAAGGATCTACAATGCATGGAAAAAAAGAAATATGTTACGAAGAACTTATTATAAGTTTTAATCAATAGCGCTTGGGTCTAGTAAATATAACTAACTCCTCACAACATAGTGAATTAAAGTTTGAATCTCTATTAAGAAAAGTATTCGTATTTAATATCTAACGATATCTTGAACATACCTCTCTAATAAAAAAATTATTGTAAGTTTTGATGGTAAAGCAATAAATAAAAAATACACTCGAAATTACTAGTATTTTGAGTAGGTTAAAAATATAATCAACTTTCCTTGAGATGTGTAACATAGTTAGAATTGTCCTAGAAATAGAAGCAAGGGGAGTGCACACACACACACAATTCTTGGAAGATGCAGAACATCCATTTTAATTTATAAGTGAACGTTTTCAGAGAGAGAAATTTGAGACTCCTTACATTTTAAAGATATATAACCATCTCACAGATTTTACGTTTTTTTCCCTAAAAAAAAAGAGAGGTCATGACCTTAATTGAAAAAAAGGTGAATACAAAATTGCAACAAATACTTGTAATCCATCATAACATATCAGGTGTGGGAGAGGCCACTACTAAATGCCAACTCAAAACAGAATTCTGTATGAGGTCTCCCACCCAAATATTAAGCCAAAAGTGAAATAATGGCTAGATAGTAGAGTTACGACACAGGAGATTAAACGAACTCTATTTGATATGGGCCCCCTTAAAGCACCTAGCCCCGACGGCCTCAACCCTTTGTGTTTTCAAAGCCAATGGGATTCGGTGGGGTATTCCGTCATGACAATGGTTAATAGAATTATCGATGAGCCGATCCTTGTTCGTAACATAAATCAGACTTCAATAGTTGTGATACCTAAGGTAGATACACCAGAAACTTTTCAGGATTTTCGCCCAATTAGCCTGTGCAACGTGGTTGGTTTATAAGACTATGACGAAAGTGCTGACAAACAGACTTAAGGGGATTATGCCTGACATTGTGTCTCCCAACCAGAGTAGTTTTGTACCAAGAAGACAAGATACAGATAGCATCATCCTAGCCCAAGAGATTATTCACTGGATGTGTCAAAAAGGAGGAAAGAGGGAGTTTATGGCTCTCAAAATAGATCTTGAGAAAGAGTATGATCGTTTAAAGTGGAAATTCATCTTGCAGTGCCTGGAGGAATTAGATATCCTTGGGTGGATGATCCACGTCATTAAGGAGTGTATTTCTTCTCCCTCCATGCAACTGTTATGGAATGGTAGAAAGCTAGCCTGTTTGATCCCACGCTCGGTATTAGAAAGGGGATTTGTTATCACCATATCTCTTTGTCATAGCTATGGAGCGTCTGGCTCATTTGATTCAGGCTGAGGTTAATAATGATGTTTGGCTTCCTTTTCGTCTCAAGAAAAGGGGGACTGCTATTTCTCATTTATTCTTTACTAACGATCTCTTCTTATTTGCTGAAGCTAGTTTAGATCAAGCAGGAGTTGTGAAGGCTTGCGTGGATGATTTTTTTGCCATGCCAGGCGAGAAAGTCAATGCTTTGAAATCACGGATATTTTCCTCTTCAAATGTCAACCATGTCAGAAGACAGGAGATCAGCAATTTTTTGGGTTTTACTCTCACTAGTGATCTTGGTAAGTACCTAGGAGTCCCACTCCATCACAAACGAGTTTCCAAGGAAACTTACTAGTATATCATTGACAAGATGGAGAGTTGATTATCAAGTTGGAAGGCTTCTTCCCTCTCTTTTGCGGCTCGTAATACTTTGGTTGCTTTGGTGATTTCTGCCATACCAGCCTTCTTCCTTCTTCGGTGTGTCAAGGCATTGAGAAGCGCTATAGATCTTTCCTGTGGGGAAGTACAAATCAATCTTAGAAACCTCACTTGGTAGCATAGGAAGATATCTGCTGCACAAGGGATGAAGGGGGCCTTGGGTTGCGCTCAGCGAAGAAACAGAATAAAGCTTACATGATGAAGCTTGGGTGGAGCTTAATTCGACGACGTGACACATTGTGGGTACGCTTCATGAGAGAAAAGTATAAGTGCGGAGATGATATTATCCCTAAGATTAACGCGAAACGGCCAGGTTCTCAGGCTTGGAAGGGGATTAAGGAGGCTTGGGGAGATGTTTCGCGGATTTGGCTTGGAATGTGGGAGACGGGGCGAAGATCAAGTTTTGGAGTGACAGATGGTTGCCTCATTATGACTCGCTTCTTTCATATGCCACTGTTTCGATCCCGGAGGAGTTGCACCAATGCTCTGTCAGCCCTTACACGACGAGCACAGGAAGCTGGTGTTGGTCTGAGATACGTGACCTCTTGACGAGTAATATTTTATGCGAGATTGAGAAACTATTGGTGAGCAGTATTGGCACCTGTATGGATTGTCCGGCTTGGAGATGGACAAGTTCAGGTGAATTCTCGCTCAGAACGGCTTACGAGAGCCTTGCCGCTCCTATGAACCGTAGCCTTGTGAGCCTTTGGAGGAAGTTGTGAAAGTGAGGACACCTCAGAGATGTCGGACGTTCCTTTGGTTAGCAGCTAGACGTCGCCTTCTCACTAATTCTGTAAGGCATGATCGAGGGTTTGCCGCTAGCGATACCTGCCCGTAATGCGAGGAAGTGCGGGAAACATGCTTCCATGCCTTATGTCAATGTCCGGTAGTCAGAAAAGTTTGGAGGGAACTGGTTCCTCCCAACATGCAGGATGATTTTTTCAATCAGAGAGATGTTGTCAGCTGGCTTGAATGGAATCTGAGTCGACGAGTGAAAGTTGGAGACTCAAGTTGGGGTTCTTACTTTGCTATCGCGTGTTGCAACATCTGGCTATCTCACAATAGGAAAGTGTTTTTTCAAGGTGAGATCGACGCCCCTTCGGTGATAAAGGCCAGAAGTCTTGCTTGTTTATCTTGGTCTACCATAGGTATGGAGGTTCTCCAGGGAGTTCGAGAGAGGTTGGCAAAGTGGTGTGCTCTAGAGGAGGGCTATGTGACAGTTAATGTAGATGGGGCGAGAAGTGATGTTACAGGAACAGGCTCTTTTTGTTGGGGGGGGGGGGGGGGTGTGTTCCGAGATCATAGGAATAGGTTCCTGCATGGCAAATTTGGGAGTCACCAATAGCACTTCGGCGAGGCTGCAAGCGATCCTTTGGGGGCTGAAGATTGCATGGGACTCGGGTTTTCGATGGGTGATTATTGAGAGCGATTGTGATGAGGTCGTTTCTTGGATACTTGAAGATAGACATGTGAACAATGAGAATGATATGCTGCTTCAGCAAATACACCACCTTTAGAGACGGGAGAGGGCTACTCAGATTGTGGCATGCCCAAGGGATGTTAATATGGTTGCAGATTCCTTGGCCAAGCAAGCATTGAGTGTTTCTCTGGAGTTTTTCTGCACCAATGGAGTCGATTGTCTCACCGTTACAGCATGATGAGGGAAGCTGCCTGAATGGGTCGCATGGTGCCTTAACTTAAGTAGGACTTAGTTTATTGGTTGTTCCTTGTTTGCTATAAAAAAAAAAAAAGAATTCTGTATGTCGCTACATCAATGATATTGCAATCATTACCGATCAATGAATTGGTCTTTAATGATCATTTAGTTCAAACTGGAGTTAACCTCGAGTCAAATCGATTAGAATAATATGATTTAATTAAAATATATAAAATATTAATATACATACATATGAAAAGAGCAATATTTAAATAAAAAATACATTAATTCCAAATAAATATAATATTCATACATAAATCATATCATCTAATAACAAAAGTTAATAAAATATAAAAATGAGGGATTGTTATTTTTTTTTCAATTTTAAAACTCAATCATGATTCTTTTAAACTTAGTCAACCGGTACAAAGCTCTTAACTCAAGGAAACTGGTTCACTCATCCGACCCTTTCGGTCAGGTTTTCATTTCATGCTATTTAGATGTCTTTAATTATAATAATGATATATATATATATATATATATATATCTTTTGGTTCACTGAGCGCTAGTAGCAATCATAGGGTGAGAAGTGAAAAACATGACAAGTGCTTAAATTTCACAAAGAAATCAATAGATGGGGTCCAGCGACGCGAAGTGTGACTCAAATTTGCGCTACCAGTGTTTAGGGAAAGAAATTATAATAATAAATAATAAAAACGCTAGACAATAATCCCAGAGACTGAAGCATATGAAAACGCTGGAAGCAAATAGCTGGGAACCACTCTTTACACAATGTCGTCTTCTAATCATCAAAGAGATTACATTTTCGAGGGTGACCTCATTCATGGGCAACCTGCATTCTTCTTGTCCATTTAAGGACCAGTTGATGGCCGGAATACAGCATAACCATTGACACCACAAGCCATACTTGAATAATCTGGATAGTATGGATAACCATCATTCTCCGTTTGTCTCAAGCCTACGTATGATGATAAATCAGAATTAGCCACCTGCCATTGATTTGGGATCGATCCGTCCACATGGCCGTTTACGTATGGTAGGGTACTACTCTGAGGAACATAATCCCTGATTGAGTCAAAGTGCATACTTGACGAGCTATATCCTCGATGAAATCCATAGTCATGGTAACTTCGTGATCGCTCGAACCTGCAAGAACCGGTAGAGGGTCTCAAATTGTCACTTGTGCCCACATCTCCAGGAGAAGTGAATTGTCGATTTAGTGAGTGGGGTCCATTATTGAGAGACTGGAAGACTGAGGTTGCCTTCCCACCACAATGTTCATCATCGAGAAGGTCATTGATGATATCAAGGTGTGGGAACTCATCTGCCAATAAACTTTGAGTCTGACGCCCAGACGGGCACGCTGGGAACTCAGTTGGCATGCTGCCCATATATCTGCTCTGCACAGGCTTGAACATGTCAAGGTTTTGGACGTCATTATATGCAGAAGGTGCATCATAGTGCATGCTCCTATTGACGTCTCTTTGAGAACTCTCAATCCACTGGGATCCGTTTTGTAAATCTCGTGCAATCATGCCAAAAGGATGACCAGACGAGCTAGAATTAGAATCCATTCTCTCAGAGGTTTGTGATAAATACATAGGTGATGATACCATGGAAGATGGTTGTGAATAGCTAGGTAAATGGTTTACTCCTGAACTCGAGGAGTTGGAATGAGCGAAACTAGTTGCAGTGGAGGTTGCAGAGTTACCCATCATGGCATTTCTGTAAGACTGAGGAGCATAGCTATGAGTTGCTGGTGAGGGATCAGGACCCAACCGTCCTGATGCACTCACCGACCGTGCAAGTGATGGAGCTGTTTGAACCATAGAGCCAACAGGAGCAATGGACCTGTGACCAGGAACAAAAGGAGTGCTAGAAGGTCTTGACACCGCAGGCAATTGTGCCACAGATCTTTCCGTTGTTCTCGCACCTGCAGTCCTCTGGGTATCACTTTTGGAAACAGTTGTTACGGGTGGCGGAGAACATGAGGGTGAAGATACATCAATCTGCTGGGAGCCGGTTGAAGATGTTTTCCTGACATGCACAGGATCTACATTAGCACTTGAAGAGGAAGGCAGGCATGTTGGAGGACTTCTAGGTGAGGACGGCACCGCTGAGGTCCTCTCTTTCGGGAGGCTTTCAGTGTCAACAGGTCTTGCCTTGTCAGTCTCGTCTTTTATGCTCAGTTTCTTCTGTAGCTGGAGAACTTGCTCCTCCTATAAATTAGAAAAGCAAAAGGAATTGGAATGGTACTAAAAAAGGGACAGGGGAGACATTGATGTAATAGATGTTTACATAGAACCTCATCAGTAAAAGACAGCAAATATTAGTCCCAAAAAAGAAAAAAAAAAAAGGAATCAAAGCAAAAGCATCTTCAAAGTATGCATCAAATCACCAAAGGCTTTGTAGCCTTGTGGCATTGACACTTCCCTATAATAAAAGGTCGCGGGATCTATCTCACTTGTAACCTCAAGTCATTAGTGCGTGCCCCTATGATTCCAAAAAAAAAAAAAAGTATACATCAAATTAAACACTAATTTTTACTACCATTTGTTGTCTTGTATTTCTCCCTTCCCAGGAAAAAGGAATCCCAGTCCCTTTGCTTATGTCTAGGATTTTACAGAAAATGTTTACGCAAATTTTGCTTGATTTAGTACAAGGCCAAAATGGACAGCCTGACAAAAAATTAAAATAAAAAGCGTGAGATGGGAGCCACTTCAATTTTTCATTGCATGGCATTAGATGTATGAGATAGAAAAGATAGAAGAATGAAAGGCTTGGAAAATGATGTCGCCTTCCATTGTACAGCAGAAGATGAAACTAAGATGAATGAATAGCACGCCCTTCGTTGGTTATTTTTCATTCTCACACATATCAATAGTCAGACAAAGATGGATAAGTTGAACATCATCAATTGGCTGAGCTAACACTGCAATCTCGAATCAGTTTCATCTAATTTTTCTAGGGAAAATAAACAAGGCAACATCAAGTGTCAAATTATCTCCATGTACATATTGTTATATATTTTTGCTTTCCTGATGTTGACATGTAGACGATAAAATGAGTACCACTAAAAAGTGCAGTTAAGACAGCTTGAATGAAAAGGGAACAAATCCAACTATCAGAAAATCAGAGAAAAAATTGCCTATAAGAATAAGAACATCTTGTAATAATTCCATAAAATGCAAAAGAGAAAGGGGAGGTAGCAACGCACCTTTTTGACAACAGGTTGCTCAAGCCACTTCAACCGATCCTGCAAAGTGATAACAGTACTCTCAGTTGATGACTCCCCTACCCTGCCTGGTCCAGCCTCACCAACAGCATCCCCAACATCAGTGGCAGACCTAGATGGCTGATTATCCATCTCACTGGTCCAACTAGACCCATCATTTGATGCTTTACGTGGGTTCTTACCTCTACAAGCAAATTTAAAATGAATGAATGAATGAATGATCACGTCAATAAGCACACATCATTTATGTTCATCACCAGTAAAGAAACACCAGGCTATTTGCCTACCTAGTAGGTGACTTTTGGACTATGTTATTTGGGTAGGAGTTCCCCTTAAAGTGGCCATTCACGGTCATGGATGACAGAGAATCAGTGGAACATGTTGAAGAGCTATCATCCACCAATGAACTGCTCCTTTTTTCAGCCATTTCATTATCATTTTGTGTAGATGAAAGACTACCTATACCATTGCTCCTAGTCCCAGTAGGATGAACTTCTGATGCATCAGTGTCCCAATTAACAGGACTAGCCTCTCTGTCTTCTGAATCAGGCTGAGGAACTTCAACAACTCCATCAACAGAGTCGGACACATCAGAGACATCTTCCAATGCATCAGGCTTTTCAACTACAGTTTGCAGCTCCTCCATGTTAGAATCTTTTCTCTCATCAGCAGGGTTGTCCTCTTGATGCTTGTCATGTACAATCACAACTGGCCTCTCCTCCCTCCCTTTATCCTTACCTTTCCGACTGTTCCTTTTCTGTTTGGCCTATTAAGAAGAACAATCTGTCAGCAATTGAAGGTACAAGGAGAATGCCTCACCATCCCCAGGAAAACTACTTCATCACATCAAACAGAGGGCACGCATAAAGAAAAGGGAGAAGAAAAAACCTTCCATCCTGATATGTTTGCTGCAATTTCCAAACGAAAAATACCCTATATGTTTGCTGCAATTTTCAAATGAAAAATACCCTATATGCTGTTCCATATAACATACAATTTCCCGTATATGATGTGTTTTAGCTCAGTAATCTTCTCTAGTGTGATTACAAATAATGTAATCTTCACCCCTCAATTCAAAAAATGACCTATTAAACATGTCCTATACAACCAACAAAAACCAGGATCCTGTGCAGGGTAATCTCCACCTCTTACTTTGACTACCTTATATGGTGTCCGATATAACATACAATTATAAGGTGAATGCAGTTTTCTAATAACACTTTAAGGAGATTTTCACTTCAGAGGGCCCCAGCTGTCAAAGAACCCAGTAGCATCTATCAATTAATCTTAAGAGATCTGTTGTGCCCTTAGAATGCAGTTTCGGTGTGGTTTCAAACCTGCTTTTTCTTTGACTTCTTTTCTTTCTCATTTGCTCCCCGCTTTGCTTTCTGTTCACTTTCAGCCAGCCAAGCCGCCTCTTCTTCACGGATGAGCTCTTCTTGTCTCTTTAATGCAACAGCTTCCTGGTACGCAACTTCAATTTTATTGCTGCATGCATGAGGTAATTAATTAGAATTCATCAAACACATCCAACAATTAGTCACTACATTCAAGTGAAAATATTTAAAAAAAAAAAAAAAAACCAGATTTAGGGGGAAAAAAGTGTTGCCTGAATTGGGTTTTATAGGAATTTTTTTTTAATGACGAAATTTTATGAGACCTCAGAGATTTAGAGGTACAAAATCCTCAAAAAGCAAAAATAGGTACAGTTTCAAAAGAGAACCGCACATCAAAACACCTAAATGAGAAATGAACCAACTAAAAAGACCTGTTCGATTTCTTTCCATATCATAGATAGCGAATTCGTTTAAAAAATATGCCAGTGCCCCAATTGGTTTGAGAGTTTGTTAACTCACCCAAACCAAGTAGACTCCAGAGAGCCACCACATCCTATGGAAAAGAAAACCTCCAAATAAACATACGCATTCTGCATTACATCCTATTGTTCAATTTACAAGTGCATTATGCTATAAAGCTTCATTATCATTAAATTGATAAGCGTGTATCATATAAAACAACATAAGACTTGTCAAACTTTCTTAACATAGTATTTGGTTAAATTGAGGGGAGGGGAGGGGAGGGGAGGGGAGGGGCGTAAACGATTCATTTGCATCCCACTTTTGGAGGGGAGGGATAGGAAGAGGGGGGAGGGAAAATTTATTTTTCTCTCCTCTCCCCTCGCCTCCCATCCAAATCCCTCCAACCAAACAGACTGTAAAGGGTAGAAGATCCAGCATTAGTGTGTTCACCAGTTTGGCCAGTAGGCCTTTGGATGGTCAAAAACGACCATGAAGTATAACTACCCTTGATTAGAAATAAGCGCAGGATCAGCATATTTTTGTTAAAACTGGCCTAAGAGCATACAGCCCTAATATCCAAGTCATGCCAAATAATCATCTGTACTAAGCTAGGAACAAAATAAATCAACCACTGCAGAATAAAATATCAAGGTCATAAGTTTGCTTGAATCAAATAATTATCATCATATACTACAGAGCCAAAATAGATCTTCAGAATGCGGGGACAATTTCCATGCCAATCTGAAATTGCTACCTTAATGCCAGGTTAGAAAAAGAAGCTGTCTTGTTAAAAAATAAATGAAACAATGCATTTACCAAACTGAGGTAAGTTCTGCTGAAGCATTTTCAGTATTTAAATCTAGTGGGAAGATATCGATTATCCAATTGATTATGTTTCTTCCTCTATATATCTTCAAATTTTTCTTTTAAAAAGCAAAACTCTGTTTGGTGTTTATTAGAATTTAAGCTACCTATGTAATGATTCATATTAAATGACGATGACGATGATGACAACAAGAAGCCTCATCCCGCTAAGCGAGACTAGTTACATGGATTGCATGACACCATAGGACTTTATCAACACAACCAATCCTGCCTAATATATCATTTACCAAGAAATCATGTTTGATAACTTTCTTAAGCATCCTTCTTAATGACTCTACATTTTTTAGGGCAAAAAGCCTTTTTGTTCAAGTCTCCTCACTAAGGCCTCTAGTGGCCTTCTTTGAAAATGTCTAAACCAATGTAATCAATTTTGTACTATTTACTCCATGATAGGTGCTACCCCTACTTTCCCTCATATACAATAACTATGGATCTCGTCTTTTCTAGTATAACCACATGTCCGTCTTAACATTCCCTTACTTCTAGTTTTTGCTCATGTTCCTTCAACACCCAAAGCTCTCTATCATATGTATCACTGGTCTTATAACAATTCAGTGAGAAAAAAAAAATTAAGCTTAGAAGACAATAGAGGGGAAAGAACTTTCTAACAAGTGTCTGTACATCATACAACTACATGTAAATTTTCAAATAATTTATCCCCTAAAGATAATATTGTATAGTCATTGAAGCCCTGGTGACCGGCCCTAGATAAGACCTCAATATTAACAACCTTGAAAGCACCCTCAACTTAGTAATCCTCTAATATATAATTGTAATAATAACAGGAAGTTAGTTGGGTAGTTAGTATAATTAGTTGATTAGTGTCTATAAAAGGGAATAAAAGGGTCATTGTAATAGGTGTGTATGGATTGTATGGAGCGAGATGAGTTTTGATTCTCTTGTTCTCTCTTTCTCTCGTCTGTCTTTCATCCCCACCACCCCCCCCAAAAAAAAAAAAAAAAAATCTCTCCCATCTAAATCCCATATCAACTTCTGATGCACGAATAAAGCCAAGTTGATAAAACTTCGTCTTCACTAACAAAATCAACCCATTGGTTTATGATGTGAAGAACCCTTCCAAGTCAATCCATACCTGGTGGGTGTATTTGTATCCCACCATTCTAGCTTGCATCCCTTTGGACATTGAAGCAGGTAGCCATGACAGAAGCAACCGATCATGTCGCTCCCTGTCCCGGAATTCTTCAGTTAAGTTTCCAATGGCTTTTTCTTCTGTGGTGAACTTGGGCTACAGTCCATATTTACCCAGATTGAATCATAGTAGCTTGTAACCTTCAACGGTTGGAAGCTCTTGTGTATCCAAATTAAGAAATTCTCCTCATTGAGTTTCAAAGACCAGATTCAAAAATCCCTGAGGAATGAATTTTGGGTGCACAGAGGATTTCATGCAAGTAGTTTCAGATAAATTATCCACGGTGATGTAACTCTTGCTCTAATACCATGTAAGAATAAAGGAAACTGTGTTATTCCATTCACTAAGAGTTTTATATACTACATGATGGGATAGTATAACAGGCTAAACATAATGGTTAGCACAACAAACTAAGCCTCTAACTGTGTAACAGAATACTTCTATAACTCCCCTAACAGAAATGTACTATAAGGTAACGACAGAAGTAAAATTAGCATCCTGAGTGAAGTGATGGAAATTACAAGTTTCTGACCTGATCGAAACAAACACCTAATATATTTGGACAACTAAATATATGCGATAATTTTTCACAACATCCAGAGTCTAGCTCCAAGCAATATGGAAACCAAAATAACTTCCCAATGGAGTAAGAATTAAGAATGAAGAACATATAGAAGTAACAATCAGATATGCAAATATATTTAACTAATGCTTTTTTGACAACCTGAATATGTGGGCAAGGACAAATATTTCCACAGTCCTGCGACCAAGTTCAGTGAGACGCCTTTCATCACGCTCTATGGAGTCTTTATTGAAGTCCTCCCCAGAGTTCCCATCCTAGAACAAAGGGAGAGTAAGTTTCCCAACTACGAAAAGAGCTCAACACATAAAGCTAAATCCTGATTCATACACCTCATTGCACATATGATCTCCCTAATTTAACTTACCATTGGATATGTGCAATAGATGTTAAATATTGACTATATTTTTTTAATTGACAATTAACAGAAGTGGAAAAGGCCAAACATTCTCATCTCAAATCCTAAGGACAAATTCAACTTTTTGCCAGTGACCTACTAAATATCCCCATCATCGAACATATGCAAAAATTTTAAATAAGCTAATTAATTCAATTTGGATGTCCACCCAAAAGCCTCAGAACAATTCACTAGGCCAAAAATGATTTTTCTCGGAAAGTCTTAATCACAACACTTGAGAATAATAACCCAAACATGAAACTATACTGTCAAAATCAATTATCACAAAAGCGTTTTTTCAGGAAAATCTGGAATCTTCATCAATCCTAATCACACACTTGACCATTTAGAGATGAAGTCATAGCCTTGAATAAACAAGTAAAAGAAGAGAGAACAACCCATCCAGCAAACTTTGCAAAATCTGAAATATACACTATCTGCATCAACAGATTAGAGAACCAGCTGACAAGCAACAGTGGAATGAAAACTTGAAAAATCAATAGCAGAAGTAGTTTTATTGTTCTTTTTCTTTTCTTTAAGACAGACATGCTTAAATTTTTTAAGAACAAATTAAATTCATTAAAAATGTGAGGACTTGTCGATCAGTAAAGGGTTCACAATTGAAACAACTTCTCTGGCCGCAAAAGACAACATCAGAACAATATATTAAGATTTCTCTCTTTCCCATGGTTTATAATAGAAGATTTAGCTGCTTTCCAATCTCTTCTACCCACTTCTTTTTCTAGCATCTATCACGAATACCACCAAAGTTCAAAGAGCATCCCCTACTTAACCAGCAACATAAAGGAAACTTTAGTTTCCCTTTACCACCATGATTTTTTTATCTCACCTTTGTACGATTTTGAGGACCCTTCTCATCCTTCGGAGGCAGTGGCTCTACAGCAGCCCTCTCAAGCAACAGTAAAACATCATCCACCAGCACAAACACGTCCTTCTCTACACGAACAATTGGTGCTGTCATTTCTTCAGCATCCAAAGCCTTTACTCTGCCTCTTTTGCACTTAGTCTGGCCTTCCAGAGCCTTTAATCCGCTATACAATGAATCCATCACCAAAGTAGAAGTGACCTCTTTCTCTACAAAGAAGTGCTTTACAACTACTTTTAGAATTACATCAGTCTTCTCCCTGGACATGCGGCGCCTAGTATTTTGGTCAATTCCCAGCCAGAAAGCACAGAAGCTGCAATTATTGAAAAAATTTTGACCAATCAGTAAAATCAGACACCAATTAAAGATCTAAAATAACTTGCAACCAATTGTAAACTCATTTTGCAAAAACAGGACACAGTTTGCATTCCAATATATAATAAGGCAAGCATTAATTTATCTATATGTAGTAAAGTACAAGTTAAAAGACATATATGAAGAAGGCTGAATACATAAAACAGTAGTCATGCAGACCAAAGTGTGTCACTAGTCACTACATTATCCATTCATCTTCCAGTTATGTTTTCTTAATTCCTGACATGCATATGACCCCCATTCGTCAATTCCTAGGTGTAAGGACTAAGCAGTATTAATTTTTTTATATATGCAATAAAATACAAGAAAGGAGCCCGGACATGGGGGGAAAAAAAAAAGCATAAATCAATGAAGATGGCTATATACATAAAACATTGGTCAAAACATACCAGGGTGTAACCAAATTATGCATCCATCTTCCAGTTTATTTCAAAATTATGCGTCCATCGCTAAATAGGATTAGTTTATTTCAAAATTAGCTTTTCATCAATTCTTACTATCTAAATGAACTTTCTATCAGCCTAGGAGCATAAGAAAAATAAGGTAACGATCCTAAATTATAAATCAGTCTAGGAGCATAAGAAAAATAAGGCACCGATCCTAAATTATAAGGCTGAACAAGTCATGATAGGAATTGCAAATAGGAGGAAGGAGGACCATATTATCAGATTCTGCATAAATAAATTTCACTTTTTAAAAGGCAAGAATACAACCTCATTTAATGATCCTAAATTATATAAGGTGGTACAAGTCATGATAAGAATTGCAAATAGGAGAAAGGACTATGTGTTCAGATTCTGCATAACTAAATTTCACTTTTTTATGGCAAGAATACAACCTCGTCCACCTAGCTTTATCCTCTATCAACTTCCCAAGCTTGCTCCGTCTCTCTTCGACAAAACGCCGGCAAATTTGCTCTACATTTGTGAGATATACTCTAACAAGTTCTCTCCTATACTGACAATCAAGACAACGAAAAGGCCTGTCCGTTTTCTCCCTACAATTTCCCAAAAGAAGCCAAATATGATCAGACACTAACTCAAACCTTCAAAGTAAATTAGAAAGAGCTGACTATAAAGTACGTTTATAAGGATAAAATGCAACCAGAAAGCCCTTAAACGATTCAGACAAGGTGTGATACCAATTAAATCAGTATGAAAAGAAAAACAAACCTTTAAATATGAAAAAAGGGAGTTGTCAATTAACGAGCAGTAGAAGCTAACATTATATTACAGAAATAAAGTTATGATTGAATCCATAAAACATCATATTCAATTATTAATTATTACTTTCAAGGTACTAAATAAAAAAGATTTTCTTGATGAGTTTATAAGTCGTATTCATTGCAAACTTTTTCATTGATGAAAAAGAACTTATTATTGATAAGAAAAAAGAACAATGAACGAAGCTACAACAAAGAGAATAAGAATTTACGTCATTAAAAAACCTAATACAAAAGAAACCAGGCTAGGCTCTATTTTAGAACAGATTTCCAAGTCCTTTTAAAATCCACTAGGGAAACTCCCCAAAATATACCACTTGCAGAAACACAGAGGGCATAAAGATGATCCTCTCCCAAAACATCGGGGCAAATGCATTCATGTTCTCTCGTTATTGACAAGTAACAAAAACACAACTGAAGCTAAGTGGATTACAAGCACAGTAAACGTGCACAAAGTAGTGTTAGCCTGTTAGGACATGGGATACATGCTAGAATAGTGGGCCTAGGCCATATCCCAGAGTCATATCCAATGAGTCAACAATAATACAAGTCACGTGTCCTACGAAGAGAAACTCATGTCAATATCATATATACTAACAAGAAGACATTCTATTTGCATAAATATGTAAGAAACTTGTAATAAATTAAGCATAGAATACCTGATGACTTGAACTTGTGCTTTTATTATCAAATTGTCAGAAGCATCAACAAAGCCATCATAAACTTTTGATAACTCCATAAATTTTTTCCAACCCCAGTCATGCTCCTTCTTCCAAAAACGATGCAATGTATCTGAAAAATCCAGGCGAAGTTACTCAACAGTGCTTAAACAACATCAAAAACTTTAATAGCTAATCCAATCATTGAACAAACAACAGACCAGAATATTTTGATTTCTTTGGATCTTTATTGACCACAGCAATTGTAAATTGTGCAAAATGACTCCATCCTGTATAACCAAAAAATAACAGACAAGGATTAAAAGACAGACTTGTAAAATGAAATATCATTAAAGAAACCTAAAACAATTAAAGAGACAAACCTGGAAGAAGTTTGTCATGATTAGCTACACATAGAAACAAAGAGAGATGATTGCAAACATCACAACCTTGTGGATAAATTAAAATGTACCTGAAAGACACCACAGCTGGATTAGGTCATAGTTTTGAAACACATAAAACTGCAGCAAAATTCAAATAACAATTTGTTTTTCACAACAATATGCATCTGTTGGACCATATGAACTGACCCCAATATCAAGGCTATGGAATGAATGACCATCGCCAGATACTCCTGACATTGGGCAAATGATTTTAATGAGGCAAGAGAGAAGGAAATTTTCTTTGTACAAAAAAATTAGCATATGATAGCCATAGATGCCCAAGTACATGTCTGAAAGTTTCACAGTATCAGAAAAACCTATTCAAACTTTCAATTCATTACAAGAAAAAGACAGCAAAATGTTTTCGTCCGAAACTATACATATAAAATCAGCAACTCACAATTCCGCAATCCCTATATTCAAGCTTTATCTAATGAGGAAAAACATTTACCTGTGCGTGGCAAGAAGCTCATGCATATATATGCATATATATAGATTGGACGTATTGAAAGTACGGACAAGATTAAAAATGACAACACAAAAATCATGGTTGGCAAGACACGCAACACATAAGCGCACAAAAGGGCATGTCAGGCCAATAGGTGAATTTAAGGCCTTATACCATTTGTAGCCGCCAACCTCAAATGCATTACTCCGGAGTTCCCGTTTGGTAATCTGAGAAAACTTTTCTATCTTCCACGTATATTTTCCATATAACTCAGAAGGTTTTGGACCTGAAAAGACCAAATATCTCAAACAATTCATTTTATGAAAGAAAAATTGGACCTTAAATTGTTAACAAGAATCCCTAATGGTGTATTAGTATAAGTCATTGCCAATGTTATTTCTGAAAACAGATGACCTGCATATTTACTAACATATATCACTACTTTCACTTGCATAATGAGGAAAAAAAGCTTCATATTCGTGATGACTCTATAAAAAGACACGAGCACTCTATTCACTTCATCCAAAATGATGGAGCTGAAGTTGAAATTGCAATACTTCAGTGAGGCACTTGCCTTATTTGACTAAACACATTGTTGACATTACCCAATTGCCAAGACAGAAGAGACAGGTGCCTCACTGAATTGTTCCCACACTCAAAATTGGTGATTTGGTGGCAGTTTAAGCCTGGAATTACACAAAAGCTTCAATTTCTTTGTAACAAGGTTGGCCATAAGCACAACCAATGCTATTACTTGTTTTTCACCCCATGATAATTGAAATATTATCACTCAAATTTCAATGTAGTTAATATAAACTAATATCCAACGAAATTTGATGACTTGATAATTTCACCCCAAAACTCATGAAGAGGTGCACATATTTGTTAATGATATCGCTACGTCAAGATGCAAGTAAATCGTTTTTCTTATTGTTGCCACTACCAAAGAGAAAAAAGACTTCAGAATTGGCAGATGGCATGTTTCTCACCACTCAACGAATAATGCAAGTATTCTTTGCATCATAACTACCATTTTTCTAGCTCACTTTCACACATAAGAATCAAAATATCACAGAGATGAAATATAACAATCCATAAGAATATATTCAAAAGACAACATTAAAGAATGTGTACACACACACCCCCACATACCACCACCATCGTCATCGTCATCAGTATCCCAGTAAGGGGGTGAAGTAGATGGGATTCCGTTTTCCACCTGCTCAGAGGAACGCCATTCTGCCAATGCTTCACCAGATTGACAACGTTGCCCAGCTGAAATTCCCTCCACAGACTTCCCCACTCCAGACTCCTCATTCACAATTCCAGCCATTCGCCACTCAAGAATAATTTCACTAGCAATCCTCTTCCAACTCCTACTGAACGGGGGGAAAACAAAGAAACAAAAAGAGAGCCCTAATCAGCCCCTAAGCTTTACATTGCACTAACATCATACAATAATTCAAACATTCGGATTATGTTTAACAGCTGCATCATAAAATCCTCATAACAATTATAAAAGGCGAATATCAACACTTACATTAGGTTGTCGATTCTACATATCATTCACTTTATAATGCAACCACACTTGTCAACGGAGATAATAGGGAAGGGGAAAAAAATTAAATATCAATACTGACATTTTACCAATTGAAAAAAGAAAAATAAAGAGCACTGACACACTATTAGCCTTGAGCGATGATAGCTTTCTCATTCATCAAATTCAACAAAGAACATATAGAAGTCAACAGAAAAGTAAAAGCTTCATTCCCCATGTCATCCCCAATATTATTAAGAACCAAACTTTCCCAACCTCACACCACGAAAAACCCAAAAGCCAACCCCGTCAAGGAAATAAATATCAATAAAACCCTAAAATAGAGATGTAACTCAATGAGAATTTAAGCTCAAAATCAATCAAATAAATTAAACACCCCCGAATTAAACTAAAAATAACGAGATTCTAAAATCAGCACTGAGAGCCCAATTGCATGATAAGCGGAACCAAATGAACTCCGAGGCAATCTATGCTCCAAATATCCAAGATCTCGGGCCAAAAACCCCAGAAACATTGATTAAAATCGAACGAACGACCGACCCAAATGAACGCCGATAAATATTAAGAAAATCAATAAACAAATAATAAGAGGAATGAAATTCGAAGACAGCGTCGGAGGATCCATTGGAGCAAACAAACCTGGAATCAACGACGAGAGTATTGTCAAAGGCCAATCCGACCCCTGAGATTCTAGAGAGAGAAAGCGAAGAGAGAGAAAGATAGAGGGGTGGCGTGCAGCAAACAGAGCAACGGCGGAACCCAAACAAAACAGAAAAATTATTTTTAATTTTATTTTTCTTTTTCTTCATAATTTATAAAATAATCCTAAAGATTCATACAAAAAATGATTGTTCCAAAAAAAATATTAGTGATTCTTGACTCGTTCTTCCAACTGTCATCTATGAATCCCCTAATATCTGAACATAAAAATGTTATCAAAAATATATTTGAACGTAAAACAATACCCTAATGTGTAACCAAAAATATATATACCATGACATAATAATTAAAGAAGTAGGTCAAATAATCTGATTGGTCAAACTGTTGATTAAACTCAGTAGCTGTTTGATTTAGACAAAATAAAAATTATTTTGATGAATGAACCGTGACTTAAAACTGGAAATTAGGTTAAAAACCAAATAGGTTTTTGTTCAATAAAACAAAAGGGATAAAAAAAATTATTTAACAATATGAAAACTCTAGGCCCAATACCTGGTGTCATTTTATTAAAAACATTGTATATTGTCATGATATTTTGTTGACAATTAAAGTTATCTTAAAATTATTTCTTATATATATTATTACATACACATATAATATTTTTTATTTAAATTATAATTTAATTATTATATTACTGTCTATCTATCTAGCAAAATCATAAAAACTGAGACTCGCTATTCTTTCCAAATTGATGTTTGGTTTGGCTTTTAAACATTATCTCAACGCAACAAAGTAGGTTAACAAAGGATATCAACCTATAAAGCAATATAAAGCCAAAAGGTGCTGTAACTTTAATTCCAATTTTATTTTAATTGATTGTCCTTAATTTAATTTTGGTCCTTTAAGACATGCTTAAATTTCACTTTCGTTATCATACTTTCTTTGAATTTAGTATTTTAAAATATTTTTAAAAGAATGGAAAAAAAAAATAGGAGAGCGAACCTTCCCTAAAATGTATTTTGTTTGGTCCAAAAGTTGTTTCATAAGAAGGTGGGAAAGGAAGGAATAAAATTGGGAAATGATACAAACTAACCTAAGAAAGAGTTAGTGACATGCAAAGTGCACCTTAGCCATGCAAAGTACATGGCAAGGAAGAATTGCAAAACATCACATTCAAGGGGGTTCAAATTAAGTCATTTTTTATGTAATTTTATTATTTAAAAGAATAATTTTATATTTAGTACATTATTAGAAAGATTTGAAGTATTTTTTTTTCTTGATATTTCGAATTATCCAAATGATCCTTAAAATCTACTAGTAATTTATCATATTTTAAATTAGAATATATTATTTGAAAATATATGAATTGTCAAATAGGGATTCCAATGATATTATGCAATATCTTGTTGTTATGTATCTCTGATTTAATTTAGGCAAATGGAATTTTATATATATTTCATATCTTTAGAATATTTTTTTCAATTTTAGAATCATTTAAGGTTCAAATTTTGCCTCTCTAAAGACAAGCTGTGCCCATTTATTTCGCAAAGAGAAAGATGAATGAAATTGAATTTTCTTTGCAAGTTGAACATGGTAAGGCGTTTGTTAAAAGTCAGTATAGTATGAGAAAAATGGAGAGAAAAAATTTCAATAAATTCGATTTAAAAAGTTAAAAAAATATGGTTAAAATTTTTTAATTAATTAAAAAAATTTTAATTAATTTTCCTCACTCTTTTATCATATATCTTCTCTTTATCAAAATTTCATAACTCCACTTCTCTAATTTAAACTTTCCTTGCTCTCCCTTCCCTTTCAGTTTTCTCCTCCCAAAAATAGGATAAGAGAGTAGTCTCTACTTGTCGGTTCATCCTTATAATCATGGATATAAAGTCAAGTTTTCTAGCAACTATAGTTTTCAAAGTACTATCAAATATTAAGTGTGAATACTTCTTTTAGTATGGATTTGAACTCTAGTTTGACACGTTGTAAAAGACCGGCTCTTTTTACTAAAACCAATCCTTGTTGGTGTTATTTTTCTCCCTTTTTTTTGCTAAGCATATACACAAGTATTCTCCTACTAGAGACAATTCTATTCGAGACATTGTCAAGCGTTAAATGTAAAGCAACTCTCTCAGTAGGGATTCAACCTTTGATCTGCTATATTGTGAGGAACTAGCCCCTTCTACTAGACCCAACCCATATTGATTAAGTAAGATTGGCTAAAGCTAAACCAAACATCCTATTGAGAGACCAATCATACTTATACCTCTAAAAGTTACTTAACTAGTGCTCAAACCTAAATGCAAACAAAGCCCTAACTTATTTCCATTCCTATTCATGCTTATGAATGCAATCTGAATCCTCATTTCATAAGTTTTTTTTTCTGAAATTGAATTAAATCAATACCGTAAGTTATGGCGTGAATTTAAAATAAAGAAAAATCAAGGGGTTAAATCACAATTAATAAAACTAACAATTAGAAGGGAAAAAGCTTAAAGTAAAGTTCCGGGATTAACACTAATATAATTAGATGAAGCAACTTTATTAAAAAAATGCTCCGGGACAGATGTTAGAAAGGGAACCATATGAAAAGAGAGTTTCGCGTTTTGCATCATTCTAAGTAAATTTTTAAAAAGTGGGACTGGATGTCAAATAAAAATATATATCAGCGATTTAATTAATAGTTGAACCGATAATATAATAATTAAATAAAATTTAATAAAAAATTGTATGTGTATATAATTTTTTGCCAACATATGTGTATATAATTATACCTTGTCCGCAAAAAAAAAATTATATACATAAAAAATGTATTCATATCCGTGATAAGTCTAATTGTCTTGAGGTAAAAAGATAACTCTAATTGGACATAATGATTCCATAATCTGTGAAATTTTTAATAAAAGGATACCATATGATTACAAATAATTTACAAATATATTGATTATTTCAGAGAATCATTTTTTTATTTTTTCTAGATATTTAAATTTTGTAAGTATTTTTTTCTATCAAACCCAAAATTCGTTGGTTTTCTAAAAATTATTCCGATTCCTAATCTAATCTTAGGTTTTATGGATCAACGGCGCAACTTAAACTCGGTTTAACCTGACTCAACCTTAGAAATTATTTTCTAACCTAAATTTGAGTTGCTAGTGAGTTTTGTGGATCGTTGCATTGGCTGAGAACACTAGATAGGGTTTGATTTAATCATTTTCCTCCTAGGTGCTTAGTCATAAGGTTAGTCTATAGGTTGGTTTATTAAGCAGATTAATTAACAGAATGATACTGTAAGTCAAAGACCCCACAATTTCTTTTTCGCTTTTTGGTTATTTCATTTTTTAATCATTTTTCTCTACATGATTCCGTCATGTTTTAGGGTTTGCAATGCATTTATAACTACTTCTGTTACTAAATATAAGATCTAGTTGATTAATTTGAGTAAATTAAAAAAGTTTGTTAAGTTAGTCATTTGTAGTAAATAAGTGTTGTCTTTTCTAAAATACTTTTACTAATCGTGTATAATAGCTAAAACTAATATTTGATAGAATTTTTAACAGGTACAATTACTATAAGGACTATCTCAAAAAAAATAGATAAATAATAAGATACAAAGAGGAGTAGGATCTTATATTTAGAATCAAATTGAATGTCAAATTAATTCTTATACTAAGGACATGTGAGAGTATATTATAAGAAAAAGTTTAAAATTAGAAAATATTAATAAAAGAATTTAACAATATTGTTGTTTAGAGCCATTTTTTAAATATAGCATCCGTAGATTTGAAGGAGAGCCTAGATTCGAACAACATCATTTTGGTGAGGGCAATTTGTAACTCTGATTTTATTTGATATAATTAAACATACACACAGACATGTTAATACCGGATTCAAATTTGACATCCCTTTTTATATAATCATTTAATGTGTTTTGAGAACCTATTCTGTTTTTCTTCTTCTTGTTATTCATACAAGATTTAGCTAGGTGTTATCTAGTGAGTCCATATTATCACTTTAATATTGTTTATGACACTTTATTAGATTTTAATAAAGTTGTACTTTTATAGATTAATATTTTAAGACGAACTAAATTTTAAAAATTAAAACCACGTATTTGAAATTTGATAACGAGAATTAAAAAAGGTTCAAATTTCAGAAACAAAAAATTATATTAACTCTTTAGTAATTTACATCTAACCCTCCTTCGCAATTAATCTACATATTTTCATAACTAAACTCTCATATGCAATCAAGCTTCTGAAATTTATGGAATGGTCACAATTCATAACTTATTCACAACGAATTTTCTAACTTTTACAACTGAGTCTCAAGGGTTTGAAATCGACCTATGTGCCATGTTAAAGTATTTTTGTCAATTTAAACTTTTAAACATTCAACATCTATTTAGTTTTATATAAACTTTTTTTCTTTTATGATATCTTTGGGCATGGAAAAAAGTTAAGAAGAAAGAAAATAAAAAGAGAAAAAATATAAAGAAAAAATGGAGAAATAATGTATCTCTATTCACAATTTTAAATTGGGAAAATAATAGAAAAAGAATATGAAAATTACTAAATCTTAAATAAGGTTTGTTTTTTATACTTTAGCAGGTTTTAACAATACTTGACTTGTAAATAACAATATATTTTTATAGAAATTTTTATTTGAGATTATGCAATTTTCAAGTTCTTTTTCTGTCATTCTCCTTTTTAAATTTTAGATTTAGAATTTAAAAAATAAAAAACAGACTAATTAGAATTTTTTTCTCCTTAGCATTCAATGAGTAGAAAAGATGAGGAAAAGAAGGAGGCGTTGAACATATTAGAAAGTGAAAGGTTTGAAGGGGAAGCTTTGGGATTGTGTTGGGAGATTTCATCCAGATCTACACTTGATGAGCCAGATTGTTTGATTAGAGAGTAGAGAATTTTCTTAGAGTCAAAGAATGAAATAAATCACCATTGATTCCTATGAAAAATTAGAAAATATGAACACTAACTAAATAGAAAATTAATGAGCATTAATTTCCTGATCATAAATTGAGAGGCGAGTAGAGAATACTCCTATAGTATATGAAAAGGATA